TGTGTATTGGGCCCACCCATGAGGGTAGTATGTGAACTTGACCTGCCCTGAGATCCAATATGCATTCAACCTTTAGGATACTAAGCAGCTGTGGGTGGGACATTTACTCAGCCTCTGAGTATTGGGTCTGCCTTGTGGTCTGCCTTTAGTGGTCTCCTGGATACTAGACTAGTCCTGGTAGTAGTGTGAAGGAACTCTCCTGGGTACTGCGACTGCCCCGAGGCCTGCATGTTGTTGTGGCTCTCAGATCTGGCCCTTACCAAAAGTCAGCATGTGATCAGTCCCTGGTCACTGGGCTTGCTTTTGGGCCTGTGTGCTGGAGACCTGATATGGAGGCGCACTATAAATCTCCACTTGATGTTTGGCATAGGGGTAAATTATCATTGGATCCGTGGTTACTGTTCATGAACTGGGTTGAAACATTTGTTCTATGCCTAGTCTGAGGTCAACAATGGGTCAATCTCCTGGGCAGCAGTCCTGCCTTGTGAGCAGTGTTCAAGATGTCTTCCTGGGTACCGTCCCAACCTTATGAAGCAGTATGGGCATTCCTCTGGGTACTGAGTTTAAACTGGGTAGAAGCAAGAGAGTACCCCATGGGTATATGTCTGCCATCACAGAAACCTGTGGGCAATCCCCCTAGTACTAAACATGCCTCAGGGTCAATGCCCTGGGTCCAGCCTTCCAGGAGGTCAGCATCTAAGCAACCTTCTGAGGCTTGGTCATGCCCTGGTTGCACCAAAGTAGTGGCTGCCTGGGCTATGGGCCTGCTCAAAAGTCAGAGAGTGGTGGTCTCCTTAGTAACTGGGAGTGCACATTTGTTTTTGTCAACCTGCCAAACTTGAGTTTCCTAGTAATACAGAGGGAACATCTATTAAAGAATTGCCTCACTTATCCAGAGGGCCTGATCCAGTTGGGGGCTCCTCAGCTATTGGTTCATAGTTCATGTGTTTCCACTAGTTTGGCTATTTGTCCCTGTGCTTTTTCCAGTCATGGTCTCAACAATCCTCGCTCATACAATCCCTCCTCTTTCTCACCGATTGGACTCCCGGAGCTCCACCTGGGGCCTGGCCGTAGATCTCTGCATCTGCTTCCATCAGTCATTGGATGAGTTCTAGCAGGGAGGAGATGGGAATGGGGGGTGGGCTGGAGGGAGGACGGGGTGGGGGAAGAGGAGGGAGGACAGGGGAATCTGTGGCTGATATGTAAAATTAAATTATAAAAGAATCGCCTCCTTCAGATTGGCCTGTGGGTACATCTGTGGGGCATATTCTCGATTAAAGTTTGTGGTGGGAAGGATCAGCCTACTCTGGGCAGTTTATCTCCTGGGTAGATAAATGGTCTTGAGTTGTAAAACAAAATATCTGAAGGGTAGCTGGGACTACATAGTCAGATCATGTGTCAAAAATGAAGTAATTACTTTGGAATGACAAAAAGACCAACAAATTTCGGGCTACAAGGCATTTTCTAAAATAGTGATTGATGGGGGAGGGCCCAGGCCATTGTGGATGGTGCCTTCTCTGGGCTGGCGGTCCTAGGTTCTATAAGAAAGTAGGCTGGGCAAGCCATGGAGAGCAAGTCAGTAAACAGCCTCCCTCTATGGCCTCTCCATCAGCTCTTGACTCCAGATTCTTGTCCTGGTTGAGTTTCTTTCCTGACTTCCTTTGATGATGAACAGTGATAGTGATATATACCTCACTTGCTTTTTGGTCATGGTGTTTCATCGTAGCAACAGAAACCATAACTAAAACATGGCCCCATTACCCATATCCATGGGAATATACTTTTGCTCTCTGTGCGATTCTGGACTCAGTTCTTTCCTTGTCATTTAAAATATGTTAACCCACTCGGGATCCTGGAGTTCTGGTGAGAAGTATAATGGGGAAAGCTAGAGAGGTAGCTCAGCAGTTAAGAGCACTTGTCTGGTCTCCCAGAGGACCAGAGTTTGATTTCACAACACTTATGTTCAGTGGTCCCAATGGCTTGTACCTCTAGCTCCAAGGGATTCAGTGTTCTCATTTTTCCTTCATGAGTACATTCTCTCTCTCTCACACACACACATTAAAAAAATGAAGAGGGTTTATATGAGCGAGAATTGTTGAAGCCAAGCTTGGATAAAGCACCGGGACAAATAACCAAATGAATGGAAGCACAGGATCTATGAACCAAAGGCTGAGGGGCCCCCAACTGGATCAGGCCACCTGAACGGGTGAGACAGTCATTTGGCTTGATCTGTTTGGGAGGCAGCTGTGCATTGGTGCCAGGTCCTGGGCTCGTTGCATGAGTTGGCTGTTTGAATCCTGGGACTTATGCAGGGACACTTGGCTCGGTCTGGGAGGGGGGAATGGACCTGCCTGGACTGAGTCTACCAGGTCAACCCCGGTCCTCGGGGGAGACCTTGATCTGGAGGAGGTGGGAATGGGGGGTGGGCTGGGGGGAGGGGTGGGCGAGAGGGGGAGAACAGGGGATTCTGTGGCTATTATGTTGAACTGAATGGTGTTGTAAAATAATAATAATAATAATAATAATAATAATAAATGAAATTAATGTTACAGGGCTTTTTATTTTGGGGAATATATGGTGAAGTTTTCTCTGTCTCAGTTCTATTAATGTTAATAAAACATTCTGCTACCATCCTTTTTCTTTGCTATCAATCAATGTTTAGAAAAAGTAATTGCATACTTCAGTGGTATGATGATAATTGTAAAAGCTGAAAAGTTACTAGAGAATATTAGGGACAGTTTGAAAAGACCATTGCAGCATCATACATGTTCACTGTCCAACTAGTATATAAAACACAATGAAGTATAATCATTATCCTCATTATTATCATTATTATCTTAAGTGAAGGAGAAGGCCCTTGCTATGGGTTGGATATGAAATGTCAAGGACAAGCTCATGCATTTGACTACTAGGTTCCTGACAGGAGTTGCTCTTTTCAGAAGTTATGGATCCCTCAAGAAGTGTGGCCCAGATAGATAAACAGGGTCAATGGTGTGTGTGTGTGTGTGTGTGTGTGTGTGTGTGTGTGTGTGTGTGTGTGAGGATAAGTGGTGTTATGTGACTTTTCCTGGGGAAACACAAGCAAATATCTACTCACTTCAGATAGGGAACCAATGACAGACCAAAGTAACAATTCTACCAAAGTCCATCAGTGTTGGGAGCCATGCAGCCTAGTCTTGGATCAGCATATGACTACCTGTCCAGTGGGTTCCCTTGGGGCAAGGCACCCATGGAAATGGACTCTCACGTGGGAAGAATCAGCAGTCCATGGGACAGCACAGGAATTGGCAAACATGCAGCTTGCAGGCTCTTTTTTTGTCTCGCTATAGTGCTGATTCTTTAGGCGGTTTTTAGTTTTACTTTGTCAGTCACACATGCAACAGCTGTAATTTCCCCTGGAAATTCTGTTCTTTCTCGAATATTTTCCCCTAAGATTTAGCAGGGAGCTAATGCTTCTCAAATCTCTTATCTGGAATTACTAACTACAACTCCTAATCCTGGGAACTTTTCTGACTCTATAGAGACAGTTAGGTAGGTATTTTTGAGAAAATAACACTTGGAACATTAACCAAATCTCACAGTTCTGGAAAGGAGAGTAAGGAATGCGCACACAGAATAGGGAGAGAGCCTCAGGAATACTCATAGTGCCAAGAGAGTATGTTCCCTGGACACCAAGCATATAGAATCAATGATGGGACCTAGTGTGATCCAGTGAAAAATGCAATGTAAACTATGGGATGGATAGATCCATCTTTACCATACACAGGGGCTTATATTGGTGGAAGAAGTATGGTATAGTGGGAAGGGGGGAAAGTGATTTGTCAAAGTCTGCCTTTTATAGAGAGATTGAACATGGAACCCTCTTGTAGAAAAGGGAACTATGGCCGGGCAGTGGTGGCGCATGCCTTTAATCCCAGCACTCGGGAGGCAGAGGCAGGCGGATCTCTGTGAGTTCGAGGCCAGCCTGGGCTACCAAGTGAGT